GCAATCAAGCACTCCCTCACAGATAGTCTGCACGTCCATCTCTGCCTCCTTGTTGTCTTGGGACCACTGGGCAGACTAGGGCTCCTCCTTTCCTCTCCCTGACATGAAGGGATTCCATGGGCTGTGACGCTCCAGTTACCACAGTCTCCTACACCTACCTCTAAGCTCCTTAAAAGTAGCAACTTAGGGCCGGGCATGGTAGTGCATAACCACCAGCTACTTGGGAGATGGAGATTGTGCAGACTGTGGTTCAAGACTAGTTGGGGCAAAAAAATAGTGAGATCCAATTTCAATGAACAAGTTGGACGTGGTGATGCACACCTGTAACACCAGCTAGGCAGTAGAATTACAGTCTGAGACAGGCCCCAGGCAAAACAGGGCTACAAGCATGGCTCAAGTGGTAAAGGGCCTGCCTCACAAGCTCAAGTTCAAGGCCCTGAGTTCAAACTCCAGTACACCAAACAACAACACAAAAAAACAAAAGCAGCGACCTCAGTTTCTCACCTTTATCCTTAGCACCTGGCCCGGAGCTGATCTGGCACTGAGTGACATGGGGAAGAGCAGAAAGGAACACAGAGCAGACAGGCAGCAGAGACATCCAGCATCGCTGCTGGGACAGTACGAGCCTCAGCCCTCTCTCAGTACAGCAGGAGGCAGCAGCACCTTCTCAGAGGATGGCCAGCTGGGGTAAGTAAGGTGTAAGGGGACAGGCAGGAAACGGAGGGTGAGCAACACTCCTCAAGGTAGTGTGCCAGGAGGCTCTGAAAACTGCAACACCACCACTACCACCCAGTGTGAGGCTAACGTGGCACCCTGTTCATGGTTATGCCATCTTCCTGCCAAAGACCACATATGTCAGGGGCTCAGGGGCTATAAGGGCACAGGAGGTACCTGCAGATACCCAATCCACAGGTCTGGAAGAACTATCTCAGCAAGAGTTGTGTCTGCCACAACTTGTCACCCGGCGCCCACCGGTTGCATTCCTTGGCTTCTGTGTGGAAGGCTCTGGTCTACCCCTCCCCCACGCATGCCTTAGCACTGCTGCCCATGAGACACTGCCCACACAGCTCTGCCAAGATGGATTTGTGCTGGCCACACTCCCCTGTTGAAGCCTGCTCTGTCACAGAATCTGGGGCTGAAACCACATTCATGTTGCACAAAGCAAACAGCCCAGGAGCACTGCTGGCAGGGGTAAGAGCAGAAAAGTCAAGTATATCACACGACAGCCTCTGTCCAGCATTTTTTATTCCACAGTTGCCTGTGATTTTCACATTGGGCACTGCCTTTAAAATGTGGAAGATAAGTGAAGGACAGTGCTCCACCACACAGCTGTGACCCCAAGCCAGCCACCAGCCACATGTCAGAGGCAGCCCTCAAGGCCACAAAAACAAAGCTCTGAAGATACCTGTGATGGCCCAGCTCACTGGCCATGCCTGCACCCATTACCCATTCTCTTCCCCCATCTACCTTGCCTACAGAAGCTAGAAAGCCCAAGTTGTTTTCTTACTCTGTCTTGAAGCTGGGGGTGGTCACAGGACACAATTAGGGCTAACAGAACATCAGTGGAACTCTTCTGGTGGCTTCTGGGAATGTTACCGCTTTCTACATAAAAAGTCACTTTCATTAGCCCTTCTGTTTCTGTCTTGAATGGAGACATGATGTCTGGAGCTGCAGCAGCATCTTACAACCATAAGATCACAGACAGGAAAGAAAGGCAAAGAAAACCACTGAGATGCCAAGTCAGAGCCTTTAACTAGTTCAGTTCCAGCAACTAGGCCTTGCTATGTGAGAAAAATAGCTTCTTTGTTTAACCCACCATAACCTGGGTTTTCAGTTATTTGCAGCTGAAAACATTACTGATCAACTCAACATCTCAACCTTATCTATATGGCTAAGTCCAGACTAGTTCTATCATATCAGGTTTTAAAGCAAATGTCTTATCTTGTTTTGATGGCCAATGTGAAATTCCCAAATGTCAGGACTATGTCTCCTTGGGGCTCCCCATCCCACTGAGCTCAAGCCAGGGGATTCCTTAATGCTGCCATGGCCTACACACTCTCATCCAGGATATCACTCAACCCTGCGGATTTTGCCACTACCTCCTCCCTTCTCGATACTACTCCCACCTGAGTCAGAGTTCTGCAAGCTTGGACCACTGCAATAACATTCAAGCTGGTCTCTGCGTCCACCCTTACCCTTTCTGTGATGATGTGATAAAAGCACAAGTCTGATCCCAGCATTCCCTGCCTTACAACATGTTAATGATATCATATGGTTCCCATTATAAAGCCCAAATTCCTTAATATCTAAACCGCCTTGCTCGATTAGCCCTGGCCCTCTCCAGCCCATCCTGAACCTCCCATGTGGCTGTCGGTTTAAGCTACAGTATCCTTCCTTCAGCTTCTCAAACTCATCATACACTTTGTTTTAGGGCCACTACACATGCTGCTCCCTATTTGGAGATGGGGCACAGGGAGCTGCCCTCGAGCTTTCTGGTGTACCTCATTCTTAGCTCTCTGCAGCCCAAACACTGAATTGTCCATTTCAGATACTATACTTTTCTAGTCTATGTTTCAGTTTTGTTTTTTTTTTCCCCAATATTAACATTTGAATTCCTCCTTGTGCTTGCTAGGCAGGTCCTGTACCACTTGAACCATGCCCCCGGTCTTTTTTTGCTTTAGTTATTTTTCAGATAGGGTCTCACACTTTTGCCCAGGCCGGTCTCAGACCATCATCCTCCTACCTACATCTTTCTAGTAGCTGGAATGACAGGTGGTGAAACACCATGCCTGGCTTATTTGTTGAGATGGGATCTTGCTAACTTTTTGCCTGGGTTGGCCTCAAATTGTGATATTCCTGATCTCTGCCACTGCCTGCCCCTGCCCCAGGATGGTTCATTTTAAAGATGAGTTTCCACTCTCTCCTGAGTTTCCCCACCTGTCTACTCATCATCATTATCCCCAGCTTTTCCTCTAAGTCCCAGGGCATTCACATTTGGCTTTGATCAGGGCATCCTAGGGTCTATTTCTAGCAGATGATTTTTTTTCCCCTAAATAATGGGTCACAATTTCCTGCTTCTTTGCAAGTCTGCTAATTTTTCATTATAACATGTCGGACATGGTAGTTGAACCTTATAGGGAGGCTGGACCCCTGTTAGCTATTTGAATTGTGTTCTAGAAGTTCCTTTTAAACCTCTCAGGCTTGCTTCTATTTTTATTCAAGGAAGTATTTTTTGATTTTGTTGTCCTCAGTCCCGAGGTGGTATCCATATTTCTAATACATGGCCTTCTGGGTGTCTCAACTGCATATCCTTGGCTAGGCTGCTGCCCCAGGATCTCCCAGAACCTTGCATCCCCCTGGTGTCTCTGTTCTGGTCTCGAACCACCACAATTGTTTTCAGCTGGCATCACAGATTCTTGCTCTGCCTCTTTTGATTTTTGTTGCTGACCTCCTAAGTCAGCTTTTTCAGTAAATCTGCACCAGAGTTCAGCAAGAACCCGGCAAGTCACCATGGTAACTAACCACTTCTGCTGAACAGCTGAAATTCACAGCTGATGATTTAAAGAATAATGGTCTCTTCAGTTAGGTTATTACATTTCCAACACAGGCAGAGGTCAAAACAAAATCGCTAATTGGGTGACCTTTCCAATAACGCCTATTAGAGGATCATCTAACAGGTAGGTCTGGGAGGTGACCTGGCATCCTTCTACAATGCAGTGGACCCCCAACTGTTAGCACCAGAGGGGCTTCCACAGACCAGGAAGTACAGAGAGCAATGCCCTGGGCTTTCTTCTTCTCATTCAGCCTCCAGCATCACTGCTTAGAAGGAGCAAGGCACTGTGTCAATGAGTTCTAACGAGCACATTTCCAAATCCACATGCCGGTCTCAGCTGCATTCTGAATATATTATAATGGGAAAGGAGCTTCACTGAAGACCTGTCTGTTGAGGGAGAAAACTGGAGGTCATATTTCCCTGCAGCACTGGTGCTGGGATTTGCTGTACTACAGTTCTAACTTGGCAAAGTTTCATAGTGATCAGAGGTTCTTTAGAACTTTGTGCTTCCTCTGCATATAAGAACTGCAGTATAGGCCAGGTGTGGTGGCTCACGCCAGTAATCCTGGCTACTCAGGAGGTAGAGATCAAAAGGATTGAGGTTCAAGGTCAGTTCAGGCAAGAAAAGTTCACAAGACCCCATCTCAATCAGTGGGTGGGTGTGGTGACACAGTCTGTCATCCCAGCTATGAGGGGAAGCACAAATAGGAGGATCTTGGTTCAGGCTGGTCTGGGCACAAAGCAAGGCTCTATCTCAAAATCAGTCAACATAGAAATGGCCAGGGGTGTGGTTCAAGCAGTACAGCACCCTCCTGGCAAGTATGAGGCCCTGAACTTAAGAGTAATAGAGCCTACCCAAAGTCCTTTTTTGGACCAGTACCCTATTTTGTTGGAGTAACTGATGGACTGTGGTGATGAACTTGGAAACTTGGATGCTCAAGACTCCTTGCACAGGCTCGTTCCAGAGTACACAGAACGGATGATTTTCCCGGGTGCCTCTGACTTAATAAGCAAACCCTGCTTTCAAGTGTTGGCTTTGCCTTGAACCTCTGAATGGAGACAAAGTCAGAAGGCACTTAAGAGACCACTTGGTCCAACCCACTCACAATCTATCTTTCTAGATGTCTTAGCAGAGCCACACAGATGAGGACACTTTTCTGAAACACATAATTGCTGACATAAATATGGATGTTTTTGACCTCAGCAAACAGAGGCCTACAGTGGGACCTCCAAGTGCCATTCTTGACGTAAAACTGACACCTAAACCCGTCACCTTCTAAGACAGAGGCACTGTGAACCCTCTGCTTCTGCTTCACGATGGTGCACTCAGGGCTCTGAGAGCCCGTCTACTGCTCCCCTCAGCAGTGGGGGCCCCCAATTCCCAGAAACCCCTGCTGCTGAGCCAACATGTCTGGCACTGCTGGGGCACTGCCAGGCTGACACTCACCTTTGCATAAGCTGTTGTTTTAATGAACCACTGCCTCAGGTACTTCTGCTCCACCTTTGCTCCCGAGCGCCATGAGCAGCCATGTTCATCCACCTGCTCATTGGCAAGCACTGTTTGATCCATCGGGTCCCAGTTAACCAAGGCCTGTTATAAATTGTAAGAAAGAAAGATGCAATCGGGTGAATGCCCTCCATAGGATCACTACTGAGTTTCTTACCTGTAACAGGGTCTAAATGCAGCACCATTGCCTGGGGCTTCAGGGCATCTCTTGGAGGGCTGCTTAGCCAAGACGCCACAAGCAGCTGTCAAAAGAATGTGTCACCTCCCTCTGTTCTTGCTTCTCATTAGAACAGACTTGGGGAGGAAGCATTTAAGCATGTGCCTAACTCAACTCTGCTTATCTTTTTGAATGAAAGATGAACTTACAGTATTGGAAATTTTAGTATATAGAGGAAAAGACAAAATGTTAGAATTTAGCAGAATGGGATTATCAAGGAGGAAATAAGTACACAAACTTTAATAAAACTACTAATTTTTACTGAATGGTTACCACAAACTGGTTTCCATGGTAAGTTGGCCCTTTTTTATACAACACTTTCGGAAGTAAGTACACACTCATCCTCACTGCAGATAAAGGCTGAGGAATAGAGAAGTTAGACAATGCACCTAAGCTCCTATACGTGAGTGACACAGATAGGGCAGGAACTCAGGTCTCTGAAACTAAACTATTTTTTGCAGGTTTTTTTTTTCCTTGGATCACTGGAGTTTGAACCCAGGGCCTGTGCTTGCTAGGCAAGCACTCTACCACTTGAGCCATGCCCCCAGTTTTTTTGTTTTTAGCTTATTTTTCATTCAGGATTTCAAGTTTTTGTCCTGGCTAGCTTCGAACCTTGATCCTCCTACCTCTGCCTCCCAAGTACTTGGGATAACAGCCACGTACCACCATGCATGGCTGTTTTTGCAATTTTTAAAAACTTCTGTTTAAATTAATATACAGCATACACAAACTGGATAAATCTTAAGTGGGTACTAAAATATCCTGACTTGATACAGGTTGGTTTTGAAATTTTTATGGCAGACAGTGTGCTTGCCATACACAAGGCCCTGGGTTCAATTCCCCAGCACAAAGAAACATTTTAATAAGTAATTCTGGGAAGAGATGTGCTAGCTATTGTCCATTTTTCCCGCCAGACCCTGTTTCTTCCTGTGTTGTGGCTGGGTTAGGTTAGATCCTCCTCTTGGCTGAGTTTGACTGATAACAGGCACTCTGACTTCCTTCTGGTGGGCTGTGGGTGGCAGTGAAGTCTAGAGTCAGGGTGGGAAAGACAATGACTCATTTATTTCCTCTAAAATAAGGCTGCGCCCCAAAGCCTTGAATTCATAAATATATAGAGACAAAATATGGACAAAAGCACCTGGGATCTAAAAACTTTAGGTTAATGAACCAAAAATGATTCACTAACCTATTGTCACTGCCAGTATTAGGGAGCTGGCGGGGAGGGGTTTCACTTAAAGTAACAGGGAAAAAGAAGGGGCCACATACGGTTTTGCTACTTAGTTGATTCAAGAGGCAAGCCTCCACTCAAATAAAACTCCACACAAACAAAAACAAAAAGATTAAAAAAACAAACCCCCACACAGCTAAAACTGTATTAAATATAAAAGAAGGGAAGAAGACAGAAAAAAGTCCTGTTATCTCCACTTGTGCCTCCTGCCCCCTGTGAACCTCATAGGGGATGGGAGAAGCAAACTGCAGATTGCAGACTGCAAACCAAAGAGGACCTGATTTTCTTACTGATATTTCCCACACAGCCTGGCATTCCCCAGGCTCCATGTAACTAAATGCAATGAGGAGAGCATGCTCCCAAGAGGTGCACACCCCATAAATAAACCCTGGGTGCTGAATGAAAGACAAAAGTGTAATAGCAGTTTTCCCCTGAAGATGAGGAGGAAGAGGAAAATCAGCAAAGGATAATGCCTCAAATGAATGGCACGTCCCAGTGGTCCACCTCCACCATAGACGTCACCGCCCAGAGCCCCCAGAGCTGTCTCTACCCTATAGCTGCCCTGGAAGCTGGGCCTTTCCCTACCCAGCATTCCTGGATTTTCACACTGACTACAGATGCTGACGGCCGCTGATTTTTAAGCAATAACAGTTTTGGTAAATAGGACTTAATTTCCGGACAATTTTACTATTTGTTCTCCTGGTTGACATTTATGTTGTCTCTCACCACTGAAGCCGACACTGCATTCCTTTGTAGTTACCTAGCCTTGTTTGTAAAATATTGCCTGTATCTGTATTTTGAAATCAGCCTTAAATCAATGCTAAACATTAAAACACCTGCAAATACAGTGAACTCAGTGGAGTTTACCCACTCCTTCACAATGCTTATTTGACAACTTCATGGAATGAGTTCTTCCAAGTAAGGGACCTTCCTGTTAATCAGGGGCTAAACACTGGATTTATACATTTATAGTTTGTGTGGTACTGGGGTTTGAACTCAGGGCCTTGCACTTGCTAGTCAGGTGCTCTACCACTTGAGCACCTGCGGCCCTTTTCGACTTGGCTGTTTTTCAGACACTATCCCACATTTACACCCAGGCCTGCCTGGGCCTCAATCCTTCTACTTATGCTTCCTGCGTAGCTGGGATGACAAACATGCACCATTATGCCCAGCTTTTACCAGTTGAAATAGGGTCTCGCTTGTTGCCCAGGCCAACCTGGATCTCCATCCTCCTATGCTACACTTCCCACAGTCACTGGCATGACAGGTGTATGCCACCATGATTAGCTTTATTTTCATTGAGATGAGGTCTTGCTAATTTTTTGCCTGGCTGGTCTGGCTGAAACCAGATCCTCCTGATCTCAGCCTCCCAACTGGGTAGGATTACAGTGTGAACCACTAAAACCCAGGTTACCCCACGGTTTTTGTCTTTTGCCCCTTCTCTTTGTTGTTACTCTCCTAAAGGGGTGTGTCTGGAGGGGTGGAGGGTGGATATCTATAGGCTCCCCCGGGGTTATCAGGGCAGCATCACTCTGTTGTGCTGCCTGCCGCCCCAGTTAGGCCTCCTCTCCTCTCATCATTACCATCTTCTCTGTAAGAATCCCTCCTGCCATGGCCTCCTTGGGTCTCACCCATCACACAAGACGTCAGGCCCTTCCAACTCACACCCACCCTCAGCATGTTTTGTTTTCCTTGTTTCTTTCTCCAGCTTGGCTTTTCACTTATCAAAGACCCCTCTTGAGTCTACTGTGAAGCAGCTTCAAGTGCAGAAATCTGAGAAAGTACGTATTTTAGGGTATTGATTTTCTCATGCGCTATCTGCATCTTTCTCAACAAAAGCATTCTTAACTAAGGAACACCACAGATATTATTCAAGGCTCTATCTAGCTCCCACAATGCAACTTGTTCCATTCCATCCAGAATGGGCCTGAATCTGGGCTGAGTTGGGGAAGGGGGGGATTCCCAAGGCTACCATTTGTTACTGTCATCGCCTTCCAAAGCCACAGGTGGTACAGGGGAAGAGGTCCCCATTTGTGTGCAGTGTGCACACGTAGCTTCGGTGGGTGAATCAGCACTATCACCAGCTGCTACTGACATGCAGACAGCCAAAGACAAAGTAATAAATCAGTGGGCTCTCTGGTTGTCTAGAACGTCCAAGTTTAATAAGCAATGTCAATTCTCTCTCTAATAACAATCCATGCGATAAAACTTGTTTTTTAAACTGGAGAGGTGGAATTAATGTTGTGTCAAGTACAGGTCTTTATGTTCACATTTATGGCTGAAAATATTTTTGTTTTGTGAGAACAAGAGCAGATGCCTTTTGCAATAGAACTGAACATTCAGTGGACAGTGCACATTTGGAACAAAACACTTCCACCCTCCGGCAGGCTTAGTAATGCTCTGCTCAGATCCCTTCCCTAAATGTCCATCTACAGAGCTTACAGCAGAACTCAATTTAAGGGCTGAGGCTACCTTATCAAAACTAAATAGTTACGACAATATTGTTAGAGGAAAAGTACTATACTTGAGTTGTTTTTTGGTCAAATATGCTTTGTAAACTATATTAGGTAAGGACTTTCTAAAGTCAATTAACTTTCTAAAATTAATTTCAAGTTTATATAAAGACATAGAAAGAAAATACCAACATCAGTGTTATATTTTAAAGCTAATTTGAAAGTTGTCATCCAATAAAAAAGAGATCAACCTGGAAAAAAACAGGACTAACTCTGACCTTTGAGCAGCGAGCAACGTTCCAAGTATTCGTCTTTTGTATCCTATTTATGATTTTTTCCCTACGATCATGACATTTTATGGTGACTTCAACATTTAAACAATGACTGGCAACAGAACATTATATATATATATATATATATCTATATATATATATATCTATATCTATATATATAAAATTTTTCTTTTTTTTGGTGGGATTGGGATTTGAACTCAGAGCTTCACACTTGCAAAGCAGGAGCTCTACCACTCGAGACACACCTCCAGTTCATTTTGCTCTGGTTATTTTGGAGATGGGGGGGTCTCTTGAGCTATTTGTCTGGGCTAGCCTCAAACCTTGATTCTCCCAATCTCAGCAGCCCAAGTACCTAGGATTATAGGTGTGAGCCACCAGTGCCTGGTTGAAACATTGAATTTTTTTTAAATAAAAAATAATTTATTCTTCCCTAATACCTGTAGGCGAATTAGCCCGGAAACATTAGGTATGTTGTTTTTTACTTTCTACTTTCCTAATTTAAACACCATAATGACTGCAAGTAACCCCACAGGTGTGCTCAAGTAGTTATTTACTGAGCACACACTCTTGTTCTGGACAGCATTCCAGACCCTTCACAAGCACCTCCTGCATAGTTCTCACAGAGAGCCTATGAAGTAAGGAGAAGGGCTTGTGGGAGACAGAGTAATGGCCTCCCAAAGATGTCTTACATCCTAACCCCTGAAACCTGTGAATATGTGCCATACAGCTAAAGGGTCTTTACAGACAGGATTGGGTGAAGGATCTTTTTTCTTTCTTTTTTTCTTTTTGCAGTGCTAGGGATGAACCCAGGGCCTCAAACATGCCAAGTGAGCACTCCACCTCTGAGCTGTAACCCTAGCCCTTTTCACTTTGAGACAGGATCTCACTAAGTT